AACCCCTCACCTCAGAATGAGTAATACAGGGAGACAGAAGAGGCTCAAGAATGACAGAAACTTGACTCCTGGCACTGTAATCTAAAATAGTGGTACAGATGGCACAGTAAGTCTATACTGTAGAGTTCCACACCAAATACTATCTACTCAGGCTCCTTGGATTCTACAGCACTCTATGCCACCCCCATGGCCCTTCACAGGTAACTCCCACCAGGTCAGACACACAGTATGGAATATGGAAAATTGCCTCATATATTACATGCCCCTGATTTTGTTGTGGTCTAAATTTCTTACTGGAGGGGGGAAAAGAAAAATCAATCTATAGTAGCATGGCCTGGAATAACAGCACCCAGACTCCGCTATGTATCAGTACACCAGTTACCAAATATCCACAATTCCCACATGCTGTTGAAGGGGTGACATCTGAGACTGTACATGTGCTGTCACAGGTAAAGAAGTCTGAAAATCATGTTATGTTTCTACTTTCAAATGAAGAAACAGACCGCTATTTCACAAGCCAGAGGATGGCACTGAGCAAAGAGAACGCCAGCCTAAGGTTGCTTCCCCTCAAACCACGACTAATTGAGATCCAGAAAGGAAAAAGTGGTTATGGATTTTATCTACAGATGGAACAAAATACTGGTGGTAAGATCCAAGTTAACACACAGACCATGATACGTGCTGCACCATATCTTCCTATATGATGTTTACAGCCCTCATTCTCTTTGGCTTCTTACTGGTCATCTGGAAATGCTCAGGGAAAACAGCCTCAACCTGAAGTGCAATTTTGACCATTTACCTTTGCCATGCTTTTTAATGTCATTAAAACTCACCAAGCTCTGCCTTCACAGCAATCTTTCTCCCCTTTTTATCTTAGAGCATGTAATCAAAGATGTTAATTCTGGAAGCCCAGCAGCCATGGCTGGTCTAAAGGACAATGATATTTTAGTGGCTGTCAATGGTGAGCGCGTGGATGGGCTGGATCATGAAAGCGTAGTGGGAAAAATTAAACAGTCTGAGGAAAGAACCTCCCTGTTGGTGGTGGATAAGGAAACTGACAGCATGTACAAACTGGTAAGAAAACGCAAACTACTGCTAGGAACTGATAATTTATCACAATGAAATAGCCAATCTGCTCTGACGCTTTTTCAACTTGCAGGAAATATCCAAGAGACACCTGTATTCCAGCAACTCCATTTACACTTGTACAGGAAGCCACTAAATACCCAAATGTTTGGCCTCTTCCTCATTTTTATAGACACTATTGGAACTATTCTAAATTCAAACACATCACAAGGTTAAGGTTTGCCGTCAAATTCAGAGCTACATGACTATGTAACCATTTATGAATTACAAAGTTCCCTCCTCACATAGATCAACACTGTAGTTTTCCACTCAGAATAAGGAAGAACTGTTCACTGCAGCTAAAGTCAGAGTCCTTAACAAAGTTTCAAACAAAATATGTTGAGCAGGAGAGCCTGAAAGATTTCACAACAGAAGTATTTTTGTCACTTTTTTCAGGCTCAAGTTTCCCCTTTCTCATACTACTACAAAGCACAGGATTCAACCCCAGCTAAAACAGAGGAAAGAGTGGAGTTGCACACTGAGCAGAAAGTGAACCACAAGCCAAGGATCTGCAAAATGGTGAAAGGACCTAATGGATTTGGCTTCAGTTTAAACATGATCAAGAATAAACCTGGATTGTTCATCACTGAGGTATTATTGAAGAATGAGGAGCAAGAAGCTCAAGTAGTCTATTGGGCAGCTTCCTCCTCTCCATCCTGCAAACAAATTCAAGAAAAGCCCCAAGTCTTTTCCAATGTTCTCAGATCAGAGCTAGAGTTGCTTAAGTCAGACTGACATTGTTGATCCAAGATAAAAAATGAGCACCAGAAAACATTCCTTCTTCTGTTAGACATCTAGAGGGAAGGAGAATTCAGCATTTGCAGAATTTTTGAATTTATTCATGAGTCTGGCACACTAAAATTAGTATTTTAGACAGAATTGGTTTTTAAGGTAGAACGGATTAATTACAGGAGAGACACCTTTGCTCTACTTCTCTGAATTCCACAGCTGGTAAAAGCCAAACTCCTGTCCCAAATTATACCTGTAACTTCAGCTTTCTTGAAAGGAGGGGTTCCACTCATTACTAAGGGATTTGTGAATGGTACTAAACTTGGAAGTTATTGGATAGAGACCTCCAAATAGTTAGAAAACTGTTTTTCTACCTGTCTTCGTGGTTCTACCATGCCACATTCCTATAATATAAGTCTATCAAGAGCAAGAAGCATCTTAAAATCTCAAACTGATGGGTTCCATGTTTATTACATCTGGGCCCATTGCCCATCCCAATTCCTTCCTGCCCCATGGATGTCCCCTTCCCCATGCTTATTTCACCATCCTCTAGGGAAAGCAGAAACACAGCTGTGAATGAATCTTTCCAAGTTTTATGCCAATATCCTGCTTTGAACTCCCCTCTGCAGGTACAAAGCCAAGGACCAGCTGGTGGAGCAGGTGTGGAAAACAACGACTTCTTGGTGGAAGTGAACGGAGTGAACGTGACCAACGAATCCTATGACAAAGTGGTGGCAAGGATCCAAAGCACTGGGGACAGACTGACACTGCTGGTGTGCAGCAAAGATGCCTACAGGTACTTCCGAGGCCAAAACATTCCCATCACAGCCTCCATGGCAGAGTCAGACACTTCTGAGCCTCCTGCTCACACAGAAAACCATCCATCAGAGCCAGAGAGGAACTCACCTGAGCCAAGGGAAAGGGTGAGTAATCCTGCATAAGGCAGATGCTGAGGGATCACACAGGGCATAGGAAAAGAACTTTTTTTTCAGGTATTCTGTTTTCCAGAGCTAGGATTGTTAAATTCAGCCTGGATTTTTGCAAGTTACTGAAAGGAAAGCTGTTATCACAACTCTTCCCCGCACGTAATACAAGTGAGCATCTTTAATGCAAGATTAAATCACACAAAGAACGCAGATACAAGAGATTTTATGGAAAAAGTATAATCCACATATAGTAATCCCAATGATGGGAAACAGGCAATAAAATTGTGGAAGTGACAGGAAAAGTGCTTAAATACACAGAAAACATAAGATTTGTGAAAACCATATAAAATATTTCAAAATGGATCATTTTGAAGAAAGAACAGCAATTGAGAGGTTATGATGACATTTTCTAGGCAATGTGCTGATTTGAAATTATTTTACTCACTTCATGCCACTAGAAAGAATCTGAAGCATGACTAAAGTCAGAGAAGGTATTCCTTCTTGAAACACTTTTAACCCTCTGTATGGTCAGCCTTTAATACTAAAATGTTTATTTTCTGATCATGCAAAAGAGACAGACAAGGTAAGACCAATAGTGTTTCCCATTTATTTTTCATTAGCCTTGTCTGCAAGTTTTTTTCAAGAATGTCTTTGTTCCCCAAGCTGCATTTTGCTGTAGTTAGCACTACTTTTGTGTTCAAATTGAGCAGATATGGGAATTCAACAACAGAAACCCTCTATTGAACAAATTTCTCTCAAAATGTACTTCACCAAAAAAACCCTTCAACAACAAAAATGGTATTTGTTGGTTCATTCTGCCATCTAAACAAGTGTGTTGATTAGTGCAGATGAAAACAGGAGTCTGCAACAGTGCAGACTATCAAACATGTTTACAAACTGAAAATAATCACAATTTGTTACTCCTCTGCAGGCAGACTCATCCTCCTCCTCACAATCAGCTGCCTCCACGAGAGCCGACGGCGACAACAGTGATGACACAAAGTTGTGAGGAGACAAAACTATGCCAACAACAACAACAAAGAAATGTGCCAAATCTTTTCTTCAGTTCTTCTTTGCTATTCCACCTCTCAGAACTTGGCTGTTCCAAGGAGTGCCAGGGCCACAAAGGACTGCAAACTCTTGCTGCAATAAACACTTCAGTGTAACTTCCACCCATTTAACACTGCAATTGGGCTCCACTGGCACAATTTCTGCCTTGTGAAGTGGGCACTCAGTCACTCATTTCTGGAAAGGCCTAAAGAACTTTATAACTTTATAAATTTAGGCAACTTTATAATTAAGTGTCCTGCAGCAGAAGCTGGCAATGTTTTATAGATTTGTAAGTGTCTTAGCCTGTTATGGATAAGCTCTTAATAAAGAGAAATTGATTTCTGCCCATCTCCCAGGAAAGTCAGCTCTCCCCCTAATCCAAGTCCATCACCTCAATCTCTGTGGCATTTCTTTGCTTACACCAGTACAGCTGCTCTGAAATGGCGTAAGCCCAGGTACTCTGTGCGTTATGATCCTTCTTCCTGCTAACACTGCAGAAATTTCATTCAAAGCATCAGGCTAACTTTCTAATTCACAGCTCAAGATGTTTAATCACTATTCTGTCTCCTCTGCATCCAGCTGTGGATTACAATAGTATATGTAATGCAGTCATGCACGTTTGTCTAACCCCAAGTCACCACCACATTGTCTTGAATGTGACATAAATGGTTCTGTAATACTGCTGCTGTGCACTTTGCCTCCTTGATGTACACCAAAGGCAATACAGAAATAAATTGTTTAAAGTGGTTATTTTCCCCTCTCCAAGTCTTACTCTCACCAGCTACAATTTATGTTCCAGAACAATTATAAAACAAAGACTCAGAGCGCGGTCATGGGAACCTAAAAGTTTTAAGTCACAGGAATAAAATTTTTAACATACAATGTAAACAAGGCATGGAAGTGGTCTTTGACTTAACATTGAACTCTAGCAAAGAGGACCCCAAAACCTCAGTTCCACTTATGCAGAGAGAGAAAATAAAGTTGACACTCATTAAGAGAAAGCAAATCTCCAGCTCCTGAGGATACTAGGTACTAGTGATACACACTAGCACACATTACATACAGAAAGGGAGTTCTCTCCACTCCTGCCAGACAGCAAATCCTAACCACCTTCTGGCTCAAATCCAGCCAAGTCTTTGGGACTGACAAAAAACAACTGTGATACTTGCATATTACAAAAGCTTATTTAATTCCACAGACTCAAACATTCAATTCCAGAATTGCTATCCTCCAAATCCCAATTATAAGTTGATTTTCAAAAGAAAAATCACATTTCTTGGTGCCTTCTGTGATGATGTTGCTCCAACAGTAGGAGGTGTTCCCTCAGCCAGCCTACCACACAAGTTCTGATGCCCCTGGATAGTGGTGTATCCAGGATTGCTTTTATTGCTTGGCAACGAACTGTTTCAAGTTTAATACACACACCCCCGTCCCTTCCAGCTGCGGCACTGAACAAAATGAGCCACAGAGCTTGATGATGACACGTGTGGAGGTTCAAGGAGCCAGAACACACAACAGAGCACTCCTGTCTCTCCAAGTTTTGCAGTTACACTGCCAGAACACACAGAGCAGTCCTGTCTCTCCAAGTTCTGCAACCCACCCACAGGAGCTGCAGCAGTGCAGCTGACAGGACAGAGAGCAGTGCATGGCTGCAGTTCTGCCTCAGAGGGCCATATGCTTTTCTGGGGCTTGTTTGTGTGCTAAATAGAGAAAGAGGATACTGGACAGGGCACTAACTAGGAATATCACATCAAACCAACGGTGATAGAAGTTGAACTGGAGCTCTCCCAGGACCTCTGTAATAATGGTGCGGTATTCCGGAGGCATGCTCATTCGGATCAGGAGCACTGATGACACGAAGTACATCCCCTGGAAGTTAAAACAGGGACAGCAGTTATTGCTCCATCACAGGCTCTGTGGCTAACAGGGGACAGCACACAAAAATACCGTTATGTGTTTAAACACACACAAGCTATGCATGCAGAAATGCACATGGGTGTGCCCATGGTTCTCCATACTCACCATTATCTGTGCCAGCAGCAGAACAATAACATTGGAGGACTTGCTGCTGGAAATGGCATAGAAGAACTAGAGAAAAAAACCCAAAAACATTGGGAATAAGCAGATAAGTCTGATGTGCCTTAGGACAGTGTGAAAGGTACATACCATTCAGTATCTTTTCATCTAAAAATTCCCAATCAAAACCATACATTCTAGTAGGCTACCTGTAGCCTACTTTCATAAACCTCAAACTTGCATAAGCCTTTCATAAACCCTAGTCTGAAACATGAGTCTCCCCCAGTCAGTTGCACCTTGTGTTAAAAATCACGAAACAGAAGTTTAAGCATAGGTACCAAAGGCGAGGTCAAGTCAAGGAGTCACATTTCTGTTCATTCCTTTCAGTCCTACCAGCAATTTAAATTAAATAATCCAAATGTTTTTAATCATCATCTCCTCAACCTTACTCATAAGGCCTTGCTACAGCACCTTTTTGAACACTTGCAATCTTCAGCATCTTATTTAACACCTAGATCCCTTCCTGACGGAGACTGGGGAAATATCCTGCAAAAGGTATTCTTCCTACCTTCCTCCCTCTGCAAGAATTTATATTCAGATATTTAAACATAAATGCAAACTGAAAGTTTATACAGTACTTGTTCCACCAAAATATGGATATGATAATTACTTTCTCTGTGAAAAACCACTTAATATTCCTGGTTCTTACCTTTGTAAGTGTGATTAACAACCCTCTAATAGAGGTAACAATGATTATTCCAACAAGAATAAAGGAAATATGCTGAGACCAGAATTTGACCTGTATCAACAAGAAGAACACAGTTAAAACTTGTACTAACCTCATGTACACCACATTGTATAGCTGCCAATTCTTCAGGGTCTTTGTCTCTCCTAACTGTACAGATGTCCATTGTAGACAGGTTTATATAACAGACATTTTCACCAATATATTAGCAACTCTTTACTCCAAACACAAGAGGAGATTTAGTTTATATGAAACACAAAGAACCCCATTTTCACTGGGATATCTTTTAGAAGTGTATATGGCAGAACAACTATTTGCACAAACAATCAAAATTTACATCAAAATACTCTTTAACTAAATGTATTAATCCAAGAAGATTGTCTAAAGTGCTTCTGGTTTCCCAAAACAAAAAAAAAACATCAAATCACTGCCTCTCTGGCAAGACCACATCACCATCTCAGCATAAAATCAGTGTGAAAGCAACATTCATGGTGCATTTTCCTTTCCTCCTCATTAAGTCAAAAGCCAAAGCCACATTCTCAGGGTCTATCATTTTCTCCCTAGCAGCAGGATTTTATTCAGATAAGATATGAATTCCTGAAAAGGCTGTAAGAATGAATAAAGGCTCACATCAAACTGGATTCCCAGGTAATTTACAGTGATCTCAATTCCTCTTGTGACTGGATCAGTCTTCCCTACACGGTCAAATACAATATTGATGGTTGCCTGCAAGAGAGATGGATTTACATTCAAGCAAAAAGGCAAAAGCATTTCTCACTCTCACAGGTGAGGATCATGCACGACTCTTCTATTGTACCACCAAGGAAAGGGCAGGGGGTGGTCAGATTGCCAAAGGCAAAAAAAACCCATGCATATAAGAATTACTGGTCTGATGCTGTATAGAAAAAGCCAGATCCAGAGCTTTATTTCAACCAAGGGCTAGTTTCTTTCAGAATTTCTGGATTTTAAAGAAACTAGAGCATTACTTAATGAACTGCTTGCATAGCATAATCTATGCAGGGTATATTTGCATACATCCACAGAAAATGCAATAAAGCATTTACATACCATGAAGATTTTCCAGACACAATAGATGGAGAAAAAATAACCCAAAAAGTTAAAGTATTTTCCCTGGAAAGTTTTGGAATACTCTATTCTTTCCTGGAAATACAAAAAGAGGGAGTAGAACATAAAAAAAATACGTCACTTTCACAGTCACCCACAAAATAAATTGCAATGTAGCACCAACAGCAGCAAATACAGCCCTGTCTTTCTACATCTTTTAATTCAAACGTTTCTGACCTCCCAAGTGTTAATTCATAAGCTTGTGAATGGTTATAGGGCCATGGGGTAGACTCAAGGATGGATCTAAACTGGAAGGGAACTGTCACCTACCCCAAAGTTAAAGAACCAGATCCTCACTCCACTGCATTACATCATTGCACCATTTACCTATTGAACAGGTTTCAATTTCTCATAACACATGTATTCTTTCAAACTACTCTGACCTCCCAACACCCATCTGGGCAGTTACTTGCTGTGTACCTTTGTTGCATGCAAGTCAGCAGTTTCCAGGAAAAGCTGCCGACTCAATTCTTCCAGGGCATCCACTTCTTGCTGGATAAGGGACAGATCTGGCAAGCCAACATAGTCAAGGCTAGAACACATCATGAATTGTTAATTAAGAACAAAACATTACCCACCTTCAGCCCAAGAGCCACATCTAGTGGTTTGGTCTTTTCTTAGATCCAAATCAGCCTTGTCATTCAGCCTTCATGCTCCTCATTAATACAGCACCAAAGAAATCTCAAGAATGTACTTCATGCACACTACTCCAGTTTAAGGAGGTAGGCAGGACACAGTATTTAGGCAGTTGTGCAACAAACTCTTTATTTCTATTCCTCTCCTTCTACATCACAGAACAGAAGCAGAGCTCTCAAAAGCTGCTGCTCCACTTTGATCAGTGTCCCTTGCCACTGAAGCACATATCACAATATGTCATCTCAGATCATCTTCATAAACAAACTGCTGAGTAACTGCTCCAAGAGATTAGTGATTACTATGGAGAGTCTGTCTAATGGCCAAATTCTGATTTTAGCAGCTAGTGTGAAAGGAGAGGAAGAAGAGTCCTCAGCCTCAAATAAGCAAAATGCACACTTCAAATGGTCTGACAGAAATCATCAGTAAGCAACTCTGTTAGAGAAATACAGACCCTCGTCATTCCCAACAGATTCCTTCTACATGGGAGGTTGAAACTGGATGATCTTTAAGGTCCCTTCTAACCCAAACCATTCCGTGATTATGTGGTAAGTGTGTGCATCAAGTGTCCCCTGATCCACTGTACACCTCACCCATGGTGATGCAACACAACATTTATAGAGCAGGAGAGAAACATAAAACTTCTGCCTGTGTCACGGTAAAACTGTGCCCAAGGCCTGGGCAAAAGGTCAGACAGTGGACCTGTGGACAGACTGGAGCACAAACTTCCCAGTAGACATTAGGCTTGAAACGTGTTGAAACACAAATGCTTTGTGACTCTCCCAACTAACACTCTGTCTCTCAAAACAAAGCAAGCTGGACCCACCTCCCAAGGCAGGTGCCAGCATGCAGATGAAGGATACTTTCACTGCCAGGAACAGATGTTGTAACACTTTTTATCATTCCCCAGAAGCCAGTGGGTCTGTTATGCACTTCTCCTCTCTGGAACATTGTTCTGTGAGCCACTGCTATCCTGAAAGAACAGAAAACACAAGATCTTAGGAATATAATATTTTTATAAAAAATCATAACAAGAAAAAGGAAAAAAAAATCCACCAGTTTCTTAGAAGATTCTGTGAAACTAAATTTACCGAAAAGAGATGTCCCATTTTATTTCCCCTAAACACCAATCCCATTACATAAAATTATCCTGATTAGCTCTGGAGTACAGCCCAGCTCTAATCAAGCGACATCCAATGAGACACTTCCCAAGTCTTCCATTCAGGATCCTGTTTCAATTCTAAAGGGATTAAAACCCAGTTAAAAATTCAGAATTCAAACTAATTTCTCAGTCATATGATAAGTTGCTTTCCTTTCCTCAAACACATGACTGTGCTATCTCAAGCTCAGGAATTAGACTTCTCATGCTCCTCCCTCCGCTTGGACACCTCTCCTTTATCACGGCACATCCGCCTTTTCCATGGAGCTATGAGCTCTGGATGGTGTGCAGAACACTCTGATATGCTGTCACTCACTGCTAGGCTGCATGACAAGCTGTTATGAAACAGAAACACACAAATCCATTCTTGGACTGAACCACTGGATGCTTCAGGCAATCTGAATGTGACTCCTGAAGTTAATTCCAACACTCCAGCAGCAGCAGCTGCATCTCATCCCTCACACTTCCACGTGCACCGCGGCATAATCCTCACGAGCAGTGTTGGCTTCTGGTCTCGTTCCCTCACATTCCTCCCCACTGAAATTTGTGAGCAAGTTATCCATTCCTAAGCTGAAAACTATTCACAGGATTCTCAGGATGATCCATGATTCTGTGGTGTTTAGCCCCTTTCTTGTAGCTGCAGCCAGCATCACTACATTTGGCACTGAGCTCTCTTCAAGGCTGTTGATAAGCAGTGTAATAAAAAAAAAAAATTAAAAATCATTCCATCATTCCTTTCACATCAGCAAAAGAAACACCCTTGGGGCACCCCACATACACATAAAAGCACATATGGCCACAGACTACAAATTACAGAGATCTTGGAATCCTGATAGCTGCCAAATGTAAGAAATGCATTTTTAATCCTTGCTTTCCTCGCAGTACACAGATTCACGTGGTCCTGCCCAAATGATCCAGAGCACTGCAGAAAAAATGCAGCAATGTCCAGATGAAGCACAAGGCTATAGATACACAAAGGCAAATCTCTTTTGAGAGGTGGCAGGAATTTCTGTACCCACACAGTGGCCACGAGTTCTGAAGCCCTCACAGGTCAGACCCATAGGCAAACCCCACACACTCTGTTCATGTAGATTGGTAATGATGTTGTGTGGTATTTGTGTGTCACATCAGCTGATCTGACTCTAACATGATCCAAATGATGCAATGCCATCAGAATGCTGGCATTTCAAACCTGAGGATTACTTATGCCACACCTGCAAGAATGAGTATAAAGAATCTGACAGCCTTAGAGGTGAGTTTCCATGAGGAATTGTGCTCAGGAAGGAGAAAAAAGTGATTCCTGTGCAAAAACCATCAGGGCAAACAACTTTCACCAACTATCTCCTACTGACTAGAAAGCCAGCATGAATAAGGGTTGGCATAAGAAAAGTCAGGACCAGCAAAGAAAACAAAAAGTTTTATGTTCTACTGCCTTACAAATCTTGTGCTAATTGATAAGTTCTCCGCTCTCAGTACTACTGAGAAGGTGGCCAGCACATCACTGAGAATTTATGGATTATGTAGCATTTACCCTGTGCTGGAAAATACTGCTATTCCCACTTGTTCTGCCAATTACTTGGTTGCATTTGGACTGACACATATCTATGTACCTATGAATTTAAAGATTTTAAATTCAGCTTTATATGAGCAAATAGTTCAATCATGCAAGCCATTGATCCCCATTGAAGTAAAAAAGAGAACAAAATTTACAGAACTCAAGCTTCTGCTATTTCTTGCACAATTCTGAGACTACTTAGTTTTGCAGTTTGTTTTGGGATTTTTTTTGGTTTTTTTTTTAAACACATATGGAGAAGCTTCATTATAACTCCCAAGTGATTAATACATGGCTCTTCATAATAGTCAGGAAGCTGCCATATTCAGATTTCCTGGCCATAGGAAGGCAAAAGTGCTAGCTAGTTACAAGCCTCTGGCATCCTGACTTTTACCCCAACATCACTCTCCCTGGACCAAAAGTCCAAAAACAAAAACAAAACAAAAGAGCAGAGACAGAAACAGCCCTATCTTTTAACTTCAAAGGTAGTCTTTTAGTGTGCTTCCAGTCAATTAAATCAATTAAACTTGAGTAATTAAATTCTCTCACTACTTACTATCTCACACATGACCATACATACAGAGTCAACAGTTGTTCACCACTTAACATTTTCAAAGGGGAAGGAGGTTATGCTTTAACTACACTTGCATCAGCTAAAACTCATCAGCAGATACATACATGGTGATAAATTTGGCAAGGTTAGGCTATCTAAAAGCTCCCCTGCACACATTAAAATGTTCCACCGAAACATTAAGGCACCAAAAGAAAAGTTTGGGAGACTGTTCTGTCAGACAGTCAAATCTTTAAAGTGACTCCAGTAACTGGATTTATTCTGCACTAATAGCAAGACATGAAAAATGCAATATGGGTATAAAATAAGCAGACAAAAATCTTTCCAGTCTAAATGAAACATTTGTTTCTACATTGTTTCTCAAAGTAGGTTTTTTTTAGCTTGGGGACATGGAATAAGCTAAACCAATGCCAGCAGAGTTGTGATGGCACACTTGCGTACTACAGTACATTCACCTTAGCGATGTTTTACAATTCTGTAAAACTTAACCAACATAAACCTTGCTGTTTGCAAGATACACTGTGTCCACATCAGCTCCTACCCTGCTTCAGCTTTGACCAGGATCACGTACAGGATTATGTACAAACCACTTTCTGTCCTGAAACCACAATTAAGAGCCAGCTGCAGAGGCCTAAGGGTGCCTGACTTGGCAGGAGGGTAAGATGCCCATCCCACAGATTAGTTATGCTGCCAGCAGAGAGTTACAAATGGTCTTGGAAGCCTAATCTGTGCCACTGCAGCCACAAAGGGCACTACTTAGTGTTAAAACCAGTCATGTATCAGGCCAGAAAAAAACACCACACAGTTCAATCTGCTTGAGATTTCAAAATCCTTCTTATACCATTTCAACAACCATCTTAGACCATATTGACAGCAAATCCTTGAGGTAAATAATTTTGTGCTACTGTTGTCCTCTCACCTTTTTTTCTTGCTAACAATCATGTCCATAGTCTGAAGGAGTCGTCTCTCCAATGCCAGAATATCTGCATCTGTTACATTCCTGCAAAATAGAGACCCCCAATTAAGCCTGCTACCCCATTTCAGAAGGGATGTGCACATGCCCATGAGACAAAGAAAAACCTCTGTAAGGGGAATATGCAGCGGCAGTGGAAATGGTTCTAGCATGCAGACATGACAACAGCTAGATTCAGAAAAAAAGTAAAAAGAAAACTTGAAACAATGTCACAGGAAAAGCAAAAAATAATCTCAAAAAAGCTGGACAAGTATTTCACAAAGCTGCAGTTACCTGAGAAAGTAGGACATATAAGTGTATGGACAGTTGACAGCCCCAAATCCTGACAGCAAAGCCATGAGTGTCACCCCAATCACACCAACACGGCTGATGAGCTGTTCTATAGACAGGATTCCTGAGGGAGGGAAAAACATGGCATCAGCAACCTTGTTCTCTTCACTCTGCTCCACACTTGGTGCTTTTCTAACACAACACAGAGCTGCTTATTAATCTGACTGCCTTCCCTCTGAAATGACCCCAGGTAACAGGAAGGACAGACAGTGACTAGGAGAAGAAAGGGGTAGGAAGTCTCCTCCAGAAATCACATTACCATGCTTAGAAACAGGGATGGGGAACTCCAGCTACAAAGAAACTTAACAGAGATATATGGATATCTGGAGAGGAATAAATATCAATATTTTGGCTCCAAACTAATAAAGAATGTTTGCCATTTGCTGAGATGGGAACACAGATCATCCACCAGGCACTTATAAAGGAGTGTCTTCCATAAAGACACTTCTGCAATTATGAGAAATTATTACCAAACCAACTGGTCCTGGCACACTGGCCTAAAAATGTCTGAACCCCCATCCCATTAGAAGCAACCCCTCCAGATGAGATACAAGCTGTGCTTGTAGGACAGTGGAGTTGGGAAGCTTAAGCTGCTCCTGGCTGTTCAGTGTACACCTGGTTGACACAAACACATTGTTGAGGTGACCACCAACAAGGTCTTCTACCTGAGCAACAAGTGGACTCTAAAACATGTAACTCAACATGAACATTAAGCCTGTGCTGTAACCATCACCAAGCACTGAAGCTGCACTTATTCTTAAACACAGAGCTCAACCTGCCTTCCCATGACACAGTGCCACGTGTAGTAAACACCACTCACTTTTTAGGGAGCTGGTTATAGAGCAGCTGCCACACACAGCACATTTAGAGCTTACACGATTGCAAAGCTGAGATGGCTGAGCGCCAAGCCACATTTCATGCTTCAGAGAAGTGGAATGAATGATGAAAACAAGGCAAAAAGACTTCACAAAGGGAAACCGAGACACCCAGTCATGTGCAGCTGCACAGAGATTTACAGGAGCTACAGAATGTGCTACAATACACTGGCCTTTTGCCCCACACACTGTCAGAATGCAGCACTTAAAACAGAGGTGCCTTCAAAACGACATTACATTCCACTGGTTGGAGCAATGCTTCCCCGTGAAACTCACACATAAATTGAATGAATGTTCCACCACCTCAGAAAAAGGTAAGAGCTTTATTAGAATACTGGTGTGTCATTAAGCATAACCTTCCTTCTGCTACAAGCTCCCAAATTCACGTTTGTTAAATAGGTTGCAGTCCAAGGGAGCCCCTTGCTCAGTGGTGCACTTCTCAGCTGCAGGACACTGAGAATCCCCATCCTCAGTGATGCCTGAATTAGGTCATCACTCCCTGATGAAACCCACAACAACCTTGTCTGTACTGGTAGGACAGCAGCACCACAACAATACAGCACAGAATAAACATGCAGAACCCTTTGCTCTAACCTCGTGTCTACACCTGGTAGGATAAGGCACTGTAAAACTCTTAAGTGAAGGTACCACACCCTGTACAGTACAATTAAAAACAGAAAACATCCTACTACCCACTCTGGAAATCGGCAGGTGTTACACAGCCTCCCAGAACCTTTTAGTGACCTAAAGAGGATTACCAAACCCCATGGCTAAGTTTCCACTGGATTATTACATCCTGCCAACTCAAGCACCTTCTGCAGCTCACAATGGATACAAGTCTTTCTTGGCAATGAACACTGGGCAGAGGGACACTGTATGTCAACTGCTGGATTTTGGAGGCAAATGACACAATTACAAGACACACATTTTCTCTTAGGAAACTTTCAGGATCACAGACAAAAGGCTGAGTAGACCCTACACTCGTTGCTATCCTTCAGCTTCTCTTGTGTGCACAGAGTCACGCAGCTTCCCACAGAACAGAAGGACTAAGCTGAGCGTTTTGTATGCAGACAGACATACACCAATTTCTGTGAAACTGACTGAATTTCATCTGTTGGGAACAATATCCAAACAATTTTCCAGTGCAGGGGAAATAGAAGGTCAATATAAGTTACACAGGTCACAAATAGCCTGGTTCTAACAGTGTTACAATCCTTCGGCACAGCCAGCCACATGCTAACTCTGTTGGACCCAAAGTAGCCCGAGTGCAGAGTATCTTTACACTGTAAATACTCATGACCAGAGATACCCAAGCTAATTCTGCACACAAACTGCTCTGGCATCCAGCAGGATTTACCAACTCATACTCCACAGCCTCTGGACTCAGGCACAGCAGGAATCTGTACCAAAGACAATATAACTTCCAGGCCCATTGCTGGCTACAGTCTATGCAGCTCTGGTGTTTAGGCACACTGCTGTGTTCTGGACACAAGTGGACAATCACTCATGCTAAACTCATCTGATTTCAGTCACAAAAGAGAAAAACCTGACTGAAAAAAAGTCAGATGAAGTATTGGTTATTGATCTGCTTCTTAAATAATCAAGGCTTAGACTCCACAATAGAAAGAAGTAAGTTAATAAAAATTGTGATCAACTTTTTGTGTAGTTTCTGTGCCCTCAGAAGTACACCATGCCTCTACATGGTCTAGGTTCAGTTAGGACTTGCTTCCTTCAATTTTTCCTGTGGTACTGAAAGAAAACTAATGAAAATAATCCAGGTGTATCCAACCATTTCTGTCAGTCTGACAACCTTTAAACTGCAGATTTCAAAGCAGAGCAGACCCTCAGTTGCAAGAATTACTTTCTACAGTCCCAGCTGCAGAGCTGAGATAGTAACAGCTCCAAAATAAAAGTGAAATAACAAAGCCTATTTCAGGAGAGAAGAAATCAGCACGAAAATGAAACTTACCATGTTTTGGGCTGAGGATAGGAAATGGATCCCCCAGCTTCCAGAAGAAATACATGAATGTCAACCACACAACACACGCAAAAAGTAGTTTCTGTCTGTGCACTAATGGAGAGGAAAAAGGGAATGCTTGAAATAGGTTCTTCTTTTAGGGCTTTTTATAGCTTGCAACATTTCTACATTTATCTAAACACTACTTTGAGAACAGGTGCCAAAGTAGGTGTCATCTGACAGAGCTACACCTTGCAGTGTGCACCCCTTCACCTCCCACAAGGCTCTAGGGTCCACATGGGACCACTTCACTGCTTTCTTGTGTGATTTTGAACGTGAATCTTAAATATTTCATCTTCATGGCAAAACTACACATTCAGTATTCCTGACCTACGTGCCTAAGCTTCACACAAAAGAGTGATGAGTATCAACAGCTCAAGAGTTAAGTGTCCATTAGCCCATGGAAGAGGCCTCATCCAGACAAGTGGAAACAAAAAAAGCAAAAGTAATTTATTGTGCTTTTCTGCTCCCAAAGTGATTTATTGAGCTTCTCTGCCTCATTTCTTTTGCCCCCTAGCAGAACAACACAGCCTTGCCAAGTGTTGCAGAGTTTGGCTGCAAGTTTGAAATTGCAAAGGAACAAATCCCAGTAATATTACTCTGAAGTGCTCAACTTTGTTGAAACCTGTGAAGAAAAGCAGCATTTGCTGGGGTCAAGCAAAGCATTTCCTGACTGTTCAATAAATGGTTCATGATAAAGCATAAAGTTCTAAAGTGAAGGTATTTAGCCAGAACAAAGCCAGGTCAAGGAGGGAGGTACAAGGACAGTGACCAAATTTATTTCTCATTTCTATTCCTAGTCTCAAATTAGCAGCTCCCCTGCCACAAACCAAGTACTCACATAATCTGATATTGCTCACAACAAAGTAACCAATGTAGAAGGGCACCATGAAGACCAGGATGAGCAAAATGACACACAGATTCAGCTTCCAATGAAAATATCGAGAGCTGAAATAAAGCCAAAATACTGATTAGCACGATATAATACAACAAATTTCTCAAAGAAAATTGTATGTCAGTGAAATCTTTTCAATTACATCAAACAATGACTAATATTGGCTTAGAATATAGAATGTTCTGGAAATTTTTTTAATTAGGGTAGAGGAGAGGGAGTTGTTTGGTTTGGGGTTTTGTATGGTTTTATTTTTAAATACAGAGATCAGGAATGTGTATTTAAAACTAAACAACTATCCAGAAAACCACATTGGGTATTTTATCAAATACTGTATTTTCTATGGTTACTAATGCCAGTTGCAGCATGATTCATGTGACTGACTGCTCATCTAGTTGAACAGTAAATCAAAACTAAGTACAAGCGGTAATTAATTTTCTAATGAACAGCTGAGTCAGAAAAGAGCTAATTCATATTGAAAAGACTAAAAATATTTAATGTTGATAATTCAGCATGTTTCACTTCAGAGTGAATTGTCTCATCTGCAAGACTTTGCAAAGCAAGGTTTTATAAATACAAATATATCTCAACATGATCAATACTCCTCTGACCAAATTACAGTAGTCAAATGCAGGTGAGATTCATCTTGGGTGAACTGACCTTTCACTTTACTTGAACAGAAAAATACATGTCCCCATTCCCAATATTAACTCACATCCTCTTTATCCTCAGGGAAGAAGAAATTACAAGGATCCTTGTCACTTTTTCCTAACTAATTTAGAGGCAAACATTTTCATCTACACTGAAGTCTAGCTCTTTATTGAAGCTTATAAAGGCATTCTCCTCAGTGATCTCCCTGGCTGCCAGCCCCACATATTAATAACATACAGAACTAACATTACCTTTCATCAGTTCTGTACTTCTTGCCTTTCAACCCCTTTGTCTGCTCTCTTATACTTGTATGATGAGACAGAATAAGAAGAAACCCAACTTAGAACAATAACATGTAGAGGCTATTTTCTCTTTCCTACTGACTTCCAAAGAAGACAGTTTTTAACATCCCCTTTAGGTAGAAGTCCTCACCCTATTGTCAAGAGAGGATTCACCTTTGATTGACAAATCCTGTACTGTTAGAGATGTGGCTTTCACTCCACAATTAGCTTCACATCTTATCCACTTCTCTGACCACCAAAGAAAAACCAGTGCTTAAAGTTTCTATAATCTTTAGCATATGAAAAGTGCTCTTAGCATGATCTGAAGAGTTACAATACTTCCATAAAAGAAATTATTTCTTTTAACTTCACAAATGGATAAAGTCAAAGGCTAAAGCCCTGCCCTAAGGACCTACACCAATTGTTAATAGCAATTGCATGTTAGTAACAAAATTGGAAGCTTATGGCTACTAGTCCCATGTTCTGTCAAATAAACAACTGTTGCTGCATAAACATCTTTATTAAGTTGTTGACACTTTTCTCCTCTAATTTCCCCAAACCAAGACTAATCCATTAATTTAGAAGTAAGACTGACGATGCTGCAGAGCACAAGGCAGGCCAGTCCCTAGTGAGCTCCCAGACTCACCTGCTGTTCAGCACTCCCAAAATCTCAAAGATGATGAGCTCAAACATGGTACAAGAGAAGGCAAAAGTCACAGAGAAGATCACCTGCACCACATACTGTCGCACCTACAATGCAGAGAACAATCCAGAGACACCAGGCATTTACATTTCTGGACTGGCATCCTGATATCCCTCAGATAAAAAAACAAATCACAAGGTATGATGGCCCACAACTGGGTCTCTTGCTTAAAGGCACTAAGCCCTTTATCTGCTTAGGAGGAAGCCAAAAGTCTCTTGGAAAACAAGAGCGCAAACTCATACACTAAGCAAGCTCTTTGATATTAACCTTAGATTTAAAAACAAAATCCATATGAGAAAAACTGCTGGGGTCTTGTTCTCTGTCTCAGTCGTTGATAGGGTCTGAATTTGGCTTCCACTTAAACCATCTCTGACCTAGACTACAATCTCATACTCCACTAAGGATAAGAGAACAACATTTTTATCCCACCCAATCCTCACAACCAAATCAGCTGCAATTGACACATCTCACTGAGTTTGAAGTTAGCCACTGACCTTGATTTTGTCTCAAAAATTTCACTTTATATAAGGTGGGCTTACTAGGGCAAAAGGCAAAACAGTTCCCTCCATTTCCTATTGCCCCATCTCCTGCATATTTCTTTTTATTTAACAGTAGCCAGTATAGAAACTTCCAGTGGCCACAGGAGAACCCGTTTCCTCAGACATCTAGGAGTGTTTCAAATAGAAGCACAAAAGGAAATTTAAAAGAAAGTAACTGCAGATAAGATAAAAAGGGATTAAAGAGAGGAATAAGGTTAAATGCGGTTTTAAAAATATTTCTATACTTGGGAGCAATTTTTTAAGATACAGACTTGTAATGAAAAGTTCCTTCTCACCTCATAATCCTTGAAGAGCTTTCGCATGAAGAAAAGCCACCCAAATCCAAAGAACAGCACCTGCAGAAGAGACAAAAAAAAGAGACATTTGCATCCTGCAGCTTGCCAAACACAAACTCACTGCGCTCCTGACTCAAATGGAAGGAAAAGAGCTAACCCAAACACCCAAGATCCACAAAAGATTAAAACTTGCCACTGTACCATGGAAAAAAAATGTATTTTAAATATCCAAGTGTAGCAGACACAAAAGGCTATGGCCCTAAGGAAGATCTAGTCAAGACAACAGAGTTTGGTGCTCCTAAATTCTCAGAATTCCTCAGTTCCTGGCATGTGAGAATCCTCTGCACTGTTGATTCTTGTTTCACTCTTGTAATCTACAGAATTAACGCCTATGGTTTTTTTTTTTAGAGGAAATACAGAAATGGAGGCAAAGCAAACACCTGAATGCCCACCACATACACATCTTCTAAGGATAAGTAAAATTTATAAAAATATCTGCTGCTTCTTGTAGACTAGAAGTGTATGTGAATTTTTTGTAGAGGTCTTTACAGTACATCTGGTTAGACACTGACATATTGTGGGTGAAAGGCGCTACAATCATTTCTAAGGTGAGGAAAAGGCAGTGCTGAATGCCTCGAGCCACAATCTGGAGCTGCAGAAAGCCACATGGACAAGGCAGGTGAAGCACAAAAAGCCAATAACATTTTTCATTTCAGTGGTTGTGAAAGCACATTACAAAATTTGTTTAAGTTTCTTCTCACTCCTGAAGGGATCAACTTAATAGCACAGCTATTTTGCAGATAACTTAAATGACGTAAATACAAATTGAACAAGGTGGCCAAAATTGCAATTACCTGTCTTCAGAGAGTAAAAGGGGTCTGTGTTATCAGGCCTCCTATAAGCAGTCCCATCTATTCCTCATAAGACTGAAAGGGAGTGTAATGATTCAAAAGAACCCAAGCAGAAAGAGAATTCAGGAAATACTCAGTATTTTTTACAGAAGTAGTTTTGACCAAGGCAAAGACAAACTTCAATATATGTCAGACTTCAAGGAACATAGTCAGTGTATCTCTTCAGAGCACATGGAAAAGGCCAGAGCTTTCTGCCCACCCTGCTGTGGAGATGGGAAATATTCAAAGACAAAAAACAAAGGAATTATTGTAGATTACCTCCCTGCACATCAGGAGTAACCACTGTGGCAAAGGAAAGACACTAACATGATTTACAGACATGGAATACCTGGAATGCTGGGCAAGAAGATCAAACACAGCTGCCTTGAAAGAACATCTGAAACAGGGATGAGGTCAAATGAGTGATTGGTAACAGCTGGCAAAACTTGTTTGAGGAGGACTTCAGACTTTAAAGTAGCTGCTAGCAAAAAGGAAAGATATTCCATAAGCCTCCTATCTACAGGTCATAAGTTAAAGAAGTATGATAAGCAAATGAGATCTACATAAAGTAATTCCACATTCAACAGTGGGAAGGAGGAAAAAGAGACAAAATCTTCAAAAAGAATTAAGTAAAAGATGAAGAGATAAGTAAGTACAACAGTAACAGAAAACTGAACGCAAAGATTAGACTCCTCTTGTGTTAGGGACTGTACAAAAGCAAAGAAAGACATTTTGGTAAAAGTTCACGCTCCAAGACACTGCAGGTGAATGTGACATGGAAACTCAGCAAAATCTTGAGCATTTGACAATTACACACAGCGATTTGGACATCTAACTTGGTACTGTTGAAGATGATGATAGGATTCAAAGCTGCGATCAGAAATGAATGAAAAGTTTTAAGTCAGAGCTCAGTTATAGCAAAAAAGTCAGCGTTTTTGTTCTGGGTGAATTGTTAACAGTACCAAAGCTACACTCAAGCCACCAAGAGTGAAAAAGGACGTTGTAAGCAAAAGTCAAAGCATTATCAAATGGGAAGGTATTGTTCTTCTAAGAAATGGCAAAAAGCTTTCCTGAAAATTGTCAGGAATTAAGTTGTGCACTGAAGTCTATCTAAGGCAACCACCCGCTGCTGAGTGGGGAAAGGCTTCTTTTCCTCAGCTCATCTCTCATCACTACAGAACAAAGATTTCACACCAGCTCAGAAGCTTAAATCAGATTCCTCTGTGATCCCCTTAAACGCATTTTCATCTGGTCCAACTGCCTAGGACCAGCCTTGTTGAGAAATACCAGAAATAAACCAAGCACTCCACGTAGGGACCAGCAAGATGAACTTCCCCGTATGTTCCTACTGGAGAAACTTAAATTTAAACTTAAGCGGAGCTGGGCTCGCCTTGCCTGAGCTCGGCTCGGTCCGGCCGGGCCAGCCCTGAGGGTCCGCGCGCCCCCGGCGCGTACAGCTGCGCACGCGCGCCCCCAGGCGCCGCCCCCGCGCTCCTCCGGCACGGACACGGCGCAGGGAGCGGGCAGCCCGGTGACGGCGGCACCTCCCCGCTCCCTCGCCCTTCTCCCGGCCGGAGGCGCCGCGCCGCAGCGGCGGGGAAGGGGTGGGTACCTGCGATGTGAACATGATGCTGGAGTCGATGAGGAAGCTCATGGCGGCGCCCAAGGCTGCCCGCTCCGCCCCGTCCGCCGCGCTTCCGGCTCCGGTGGCGGCAGCGCGCAGGCGCGTCCCCCGGGCTCGGCGCCCCGCCCTCCTCGCGGCGGGGGCGGGCCCAGAGGGCGGGGCCGGGCGCGGAAGCTCCGCCCCCTGGCGGGACCGGCTGCAGGGAGGGGAGCATGGCGGTGCCGGTGTGAGGGAGAGGAGCAGGGGTGCCTGCGAACCTGAGCCCTTCGCCTGCCCCTTCGAAACTCAGCGCAGGTGCTGCCCTCAAAAGCCGCGGGAAGGGCACCCGCTGCCGGCCTGGGGGCGGCAGGAGGTGTGCGGGGCACAGAAGGAAGGGCAGGGTGAACACCATCCTCTGGGGTCCCCAGCACAGGAGGGACATGGACCTGTTGGAGCAAGTCCGGAGGAAGCCGCGGAGTTAATTGGAGGGATGCAGCACCACTCCTATGACAAAAGGCTGAGAAAATTTGGATTGTTCAGCCTGCCAAAGCGACGGCTTAGGGGTGACCTAATTGCAGCGTTAGACTGTCTGAAGGAGCCTGCAAGAAAGATGAAAAGGGGCTTTATACAAGAGCATGGAGTGACAGGAAAAGGGGAATGGATTAAAACTGCAAGAGGGCAGGTTTAGATTAAACATTACAAAGAAATTCTTTACTGTGAGAGTGGTGAGGTGCTGGAACAGGTTTCCCAGAGACATGGATGCCCCGTGCCTGGAAGTGTTTAAGGCCAGATTGGGTGAAGCTCTGAGCAACCTGGTCTAGTGGGTGATGTCCCTGTTCATGACAGTGAAACTGGATGATCTTTAAGGTCTCTTAAAGAATTCTGTGATTCTGCCATTTGACCACCGTTGTGACTCCTCTGCAGGAGTAGGGCAGCAGTGAGTGGCACACCACAACTGCTCCTGGCATATCTTCCCCCCTAAGGGGAGATTAATCTCCCACACGGAGCCCTCTTCATCCTCCCTCCACGCCTAGAACTGGGCTGCAGATGCCTTTCATGACTTGCAATAACAATATATCAAGGAATGGGGCCAGAAGGGAAGCAAAAGTGCAGACAGGGAATTTCCTGATGGCTATCGGTGTGAGATCCAATCCTTCATGTCACAGTCACATTCCCACTTGACCTTCGTGGCGTCTGAATCGTTTTCTTTTTTCCGCTTAAAAACACACCTTGAGGAAATGGCCTCAAGTGGCACTGGGGGACATTTAGATTAGACATTCAGGAAAAATAAATAAATCACAGAAAAGATTTTAAAACATTGGAATAGACTGCGCAGGGAAGTGGTGAAGTCGCCATCCCTGGAAATGTTTGAAAAACATGGATATGGCGGTTGAGACATGGTTTGATGGTGCTGGGTTGGCAATTCATCTTGATCTTGGAGGCCTTTTCCAACCTTAATGATTCTGATTCTATGATTCTAACCATTGCCACTCAAAACTCTGTATTCAGAATAATAAACAGGAAGAGAAGAATCAAGTTGTGAGCTTAACAAAGCACAGAGCCCCTGCTGACTGAAAATCAGCAAACTTTATTCATTACAACTCATTTCACTAGGAAAACAAATCTATGTTTGGTTGTGCCGAGTCACCAGATTAGTCCCACAGTCTCTGATTGATTGGCATTCTGTCTTGCTCTCAGATTTCTTGGTTTGAAATTTGTCTCCTTGTCTGCAGCATTCCAAAGAGAAGAAGACATTCAGCTTTCATGGAGAAATTAACTGAGGGAGCAGGTTATTGTATCTGATCTGAGACTTTTTATTTTACAGCTTCTGGTATCAGTGCCAGTTAATGCAGAGCTGAGATCAGGCCTTGCCTGCTCTTTCTTTCTGTATCTGCTGCTTAGAAACTGTTCTTTCCTAAAGTGGTGAGATTCCTGAGTTTGGAGGGATTTGTGGTTGTTTTGTTCTATGTTGGTAGGTTGTGGGGCAAGGTTAGCTGTTGGTTGTCTTTTAGAGGCCGAGGTTAACAGGAAATCCTTTAAAAATAAATTATACAGAGCCAAATTCTGCTCTTGTTTATGCCTTGGCAACTCAACTTCCACACAAGGGTAAAAAACAAGGCAGAGTTTGGTCATGGGTCTTAAACTTTCTTTTTTGCATGTGTTTGGAAATAGGCTTGAAACATGCCTCTGCTTAGCTGTAAATTACTGATCCCTGGGCCTTGGGAGAAACACAAAGGGAACAAGATAATTCCTACAGGAAAGACCCAGCCCCACACCCACCTCTCAGCACCAGGACTTCTCCTTCAGGGCAAAGGTGTGAAAAGAAAATGGGAAATTTGTTTTGTGCTGTTCCTCCCTAGATAGTCGCTGATGTCCATGTGTGGGGAGGAGGCTCCATGGCCATTCACAGGTACAAAGGCAGCTTCTCAGTTGTAGTTATTCTTCCACATATTATAGCAAATAAGGCTATTTTATGTTCAGCTTATAGAGAGAACCAAAATCAAGCCTTTTAAGTAAAACAGGAAAGTGCAGCATATTGAGTTAAATCATGGGGTTTGGCCAGGAGTATATTTAGAAATCACACTGGTCTCCAGAAGGTGCTACGGGGCATATTTATGACAAATAGCCTCAGCTGGCAGCCAGCCACCCATTTTCTTTTCTCTCCAGAGGTTTTCATAAACAAGAACTCTGAAGCTGGAAGTATTCCCACATCGTTCTGGTTTCTGCATTTCTTTTGAGTTTATGGTTGATGAGTTCAGGTGATGATGTTCACTGGCAATTCATGGATTCCTTTACAGGATTGGCTGTGACTCGTTCGTGAACATGTATGTATTGAAAAACTTACCTGAGCATTTTTTTTAATATAGCTTTTCCACCTTGGAAGCCAATAAATGGCTGATTTGCTTTCACTGTGCCAAGCTGGATCTAGCAAGGCGAAGGCCAACAGTCTTTGTTTTTTTCAAAATGTTCTGTCAGTAGCTCTGTAATCACCATTTCTATTCAGTGCTGCTTCATCCCAGATCAGCAAGCTTTAAAACACACAGGTTTTTGTTGACAGAATGTTAAAATGCACTCCTCTGCATTTTCAGATGGATTTAAAGGCACACTTGATGCTGAAGTTAAAATATGGAAAAGACCTAAACCGCTATATTTCAATGATTTTATCTGTTGACAAGAATACTCTCTTTTTTCTTTTTTTTTTTTTTTTTTTATTTGTAATGCTTTTTCCAAACCAGTTACACAACACGATTCTGGCCTTAAGCAGCTTTTGTAGCTACCAAACATCAGTTCATAGAATCACAGAATCATAGAATAGTTCAGGTTGGAAGGGACACCTTGAAGATCATCCAGTTCCAACCCCCTGCCATGGGCAGGGACGCTTTTCATCAGACCAGGCTGCTCAGAGCTCCATCCAGCCTGGCCTCGAGCACTTGAACAGCTGACTCTGTGTGTGCCTCAGCCTCTGCTGGTGCCTGGGGAGGTGGTGTGGTCCTTGGGCAGCCTAAACCAGCTCTACCAGAACATTCCGGGAGGCAGAAGTGCCCTACATGTGTCATTCCACCACGCAGTGGCTGCACTGAGCCTTCAATTTGGGATATCCCATGGGATAGATAGTTCAGGCTGTAAGGCATCACCTGGCCCAACCTGCAGCTCAATACAGAGTCAGAGTAGGATGCTCAATGCTTTTCCCAGCCAAGCTTCATCCCCCAAGGATGAAGATCCAGCCATGTCTCTGGGCACCTGCTTTAGTGCTGAACACTCTCCATTTGAACAATTTTTTTCCTTGTCAGAGGTTTTTTAATGCAAAATTTTCCTTTGCTGCTCATTGTGATTGTTGCCTCTGGTCTTTTGCTGTGCACCTCTGTCAAGAGTCTTCCTCCATCTTCCCTGGAATTTCTCCCCCTTAGGAACCTGAAGCTTAGGGCTCCCAATGCCCCTCCTCTCCAGGCTGAACAAACCTCCTGCATCTCTCTGTACAGCAGGCTGCTGAGAGGAAAGCTTGAATTGTTGACAGATACATAAGTCTTGCCTCTTCTACTGAAATAGGCTGGTGCCAAGCTAGTGGCAAGGAAAGGATTGTGTGCCAGGCTATGTCTTGGCAAGCTGACACATACTCGCTTGCCATGGTTACTGCTCAGCTGTGTAAGCACATTTGGTGTTGGCAAAAAGCCTTTCCTGAGCCATGTTAAAAGGTACAGCACACACAGAGCCCAAGGAATGGCAGTGTCATTCTGTTGGGGGAAAAAATTGTTCCAGTACTTTGACAAGTCCCCTGATTTTGGTGCATTTATCCAGCCCTGGCCCTCAGGAAATCTGGCGCCATATACTGTTTTATCACAGCTGCCTTGGGCTTACAGGAAGGCTTTAGTGTAGTACTCATGGATGTTCCTGTCTTTACTAAACAAAACTAAGCCTAGGCTAGGATTACTTTCGGTTGTCAGCCTGAAAAGCCATTTTCTATACAAAACAGCAAACTGCCACTTTTTTTTTCAGCATTGTGTGGCACAACCGCTCTTTAAATGTAAAACTGCACAGTCAGTGAGTTACTGAGCAGCAGAAGAGATGGGACTTCCCCCCTCCAGTAAGCAGATTTGATGCCCACACAGACCTAGAGAGCAGAGATCCCCCAAATCTCTCCTCTCCTGCAGGAGGAGTAATCTGCACCTCACTGTGTTTCAGCACTGAGAGACTGTGGGTGTCGGTCTCTGTTGCGCTGAGTGGTTTAAAACAGAAGCCCAGCAATATTCTGTATGATACAACCCTCTCCCACATGCCTTGCAAGCACCTCAAAACTGTCAGAGCTCCACCAACCTGAACCAAATGCTCCAGGAACTGCCTTATTTAAGCACAAATGCTGCCCCAGAGTGCCCCAGGATGCTGGGGATGGAGAAGAGGGGTCCATGTCACCACACTGTCACCACAGCTTCATACACGGCCTTGGCTAAGGTGGGAGAGATGGGTGAGGGAGTCAATAAAGTCCTTTTTACGCATGGCAAATCCACATCCATGTTAATGTTGTCAGTGCAGTGCAGTGTTCACATTCCAAATTACTGCCCTTCTGGTCGAGGAGTCATATATTACCCAAGTTAGCAGTTCTGCCAAGAAATAACAAGGATACCATGCATTTCAGCAGTGCTTTTCATCAGATCATTCCTACTTACTTTACAAACAGAATTAAGGAAGCCTCACAACATCCCTGTGAGGTAGGTGGAAATCCTTACACCCATTTTACAGGTGGAGAAAACAGGCACTGAGAGGTAAAGCGATTATCACAGCAAGTCAGAAGCAGAGCTGGAAATAAATCTAAGATTATTATCCTAGGTCCACTGCTCTAGACACTAGAGAACACCAACTCCACATGCTATTGTAAGCTAAGAGACTACCTTGCTCTTCTACTTTCACCTCCTTTGGTGATTTTGACACTTGTATTTTATGCTCCTTGCAGAGAGCCATGTGATCAGTTAGGAATTCATTTGCACAGGGAGCCAAGGGGGTAAACACACCTTTAAATGATTCAGGCATGGCTCTAATTGTCCAGTGATTTCCCCCTTCCCAAGGAAATAATATTCCCCATTCATCATATATATCTCTATGTTTTGCTAAGTTATTTTTGGAGTAGAATCCACAGCTCTAAGGCTGTTATGCAACTTCACTAGGAATTCCTTGAGTAATCAATTAAGTTGTCTCACTGAGAGGGAAGAAAGCACATTTATGTGCTCTCACATCCAGAAATAGCAATAATCCTTTGCTCATCTGTAGGGCCTTCCACCCAAGGACCTCCCTTTCCACAACTAGCACAACACATCAGGCCTCACATCATCATTGTAAGGTAGAGAATGATTCCCAATTGCACAAGAAGGAAGAATGACTTGGTGACAGTCCCACAGCGATTTCCTTGCAGAGGTGAGGCTGAGTGCCAGACGACCGGACTGTTCCCTGCCCCGTTTGCCGAGCAGCACTGTCCTGATGCCGTGGCCTGTGCTTGGTGGCTACGGGTTCACTGCCAGCCAGCCAGAGTACTTGAAAACTGGCTTAAAAAATAAAAAATCAAGAAGCAGTTGAGTGGATGCAGGAGGAAAATGCCAGCTTCTCCTTGTGCTGTTGGGACCCGCAGGAAGAAAGGAGCATTCCTGTGGCAGCTGTGAGAGAACTACAGTGTCCATGGAGTACACTGCATGTGGTGCATTTTACTGAGGCTCTCCAGTGGAAAAGGACATAATTAACATGTGGTGATTAGAGACTGCCCTGCCTGACAGCCACGTGGTGAACCACATACTCCTGATGAACAAGCACTCATCTTTAAGTAGTCCTGTAGTCTAATGAATGTATGAATGTCAGAGATCAGGAGTGGAATTGTCAAGTAATTAGAAGTCAGCAGGGGTGGGTGTGATTCGAGCAGTCCAGTACTTTGTTATCTGGAAGGGTCAGAGGCTCTGATGCAAATAGCTCATCCTAAACTGTTACAAGGTAGTGGTTTTTACCTGCAGGAAAGTATGTTTCCAACCCCCTTCAACAAGTGGTCTGGTTGAGGCTTAGAATCATTCAAACTCTCTTACCACTTTCTATGGAGAAATGAAAAAGATCCCATCTAGTGTAAGTGTGGTGATTGTGTTGTTCATCTAAATCTTAGCTCTTTCTTTAGTTCTAGTATCTTGAACTGGGCACAGTGGACTCTTCCTGCTGAAAAACATTCTCTTTCCTCAGTTGTGATAACAGTTCTCCTGTTTCTGTATTAAAGGAGTGGATAAATGGTAGCCTCCAGGCTCTCTCTCTGCATGTATTGCTTTGTCATATTCCTTCCCAAAACTGAGGAGGGACCTTCCAGTCTTCCTTCACAAGGAAGGACACCCAACAGCCTTTGTCTAAGAAATAAAGGTTTTGACCTTAGTCTGCAAATCTTGGTAAAATACAGAGGCCCAAGAAAAGCAAAAGGATGAATAGTGTAAAAAAAAAAAACAACCAACCAAAAAAAAACCCAATATGTGGCACCTCTGTGGCGCTGAAGAATCCCAATGCACCCTACAAACTTTCTACATATGTACAGCTTATCATCACTGGGCAATGAAGTCCGGCCACCTTTGTGGCTGCGTGGCCAGGGGTGGGATCAGGAGCAACAGGACTGACTGTACTGGGGCTGGGACAGGGCCCAAGCCTACCCCTGTCCTACCCTGGGACAGGGCTCTGCAGACACCCTTTTGCCTTCTCTGGGCTTTGAGTCAGACCTGCTACAATGGGAGGCCGCAGGGGGTCTTTTCTAGCTAATGGCGGGATGAGTTTGATGCATTGTGCCAAAGACCTTTTTTTCCCTGACCTGGATTAGAGCCTGCCCTGGGAACAATGGGATGGGCTGCAGCCCAGCAGAAAGAATTTGCTGAGATGGCAGGGTCTGAGGTTTGCAGAGCAGAGCAGAGCAGAGTGCATACCTGCACTTTTTTGGCATGAGGCTCAGTTTTGGGGGGACATAGCTGTTAACCTGAAGCTTTTGAACGCATTGCTGCACTGTCCCAGCCAAGAGTTGCTGCTGCAGTCCTAAAATTAGAAATCTATATTAGACGTCTAAACATTTGCAAGCACATCGTTTTCTGCCTTCTGTAAAAAAAGACTTTTCTGAGTCTGATAGTTCTGTACAGACCTGTTGGCACAAAAGGTCTAAATCATCTTTTGAAAGGTATTGTCGTACTTGAGTGAGTCTTTGGCATTTAATGGAGAAGTAGCCCACTGAATGTCTCCCATCGGTCAAATTAAAAACAAAGGCTGTCAAAAGACTTTTACCATATCAGTCTTTTCAAACTTGACCAACCAGTTTTGTGTTTAGAGGTTTAAAAAGTCACATAGTTACCCAGACCCCTGGTTTAGGTTCACAGGTGCCTTCAGGACTCTGTACCTGAGATTTGCTGAGTGCCTGGGAGCCTGGAAGCTCCAGGAACTGAGCACTTGTCAGGATCATACCATGAAGGCTTGTATTTGGTTTCATGCTCTAGGTGTTGTAGCTGGCCCCTCCTTTCTCAGAAGATTTTTCCCTCTTGCTTGGCTAAATCTAATTTCAGATTTAAATTACAAGGCTACAAGTAAAAAATATCACTTGAATTTATTCTTTCCAGTATTCCGAACTAGTCTCAGGGCTGGATGACCCTCCTGGGAAAAAAATAATCCACCTCTGGGCATCTGCTAAGTCCTAGTAGAGAGCTACTGTTAACCTTGCCCACTGTCAATGTCACTTGAAGAGCAGAAATATTTTTGACCGGGGAAAATATTTTTGCCTAAACTCAGATATGCATTCACAGAGAAATTTGGAACATTTTTGCCTTTATTTTCTGAATAAAGAAGGGAAGTTTGGCTTAGTATTTTAGTGTGTTGATGCTAAGCATAGAATTCACTTTGTGAATTAAATAACTGCAATTCCATGCCAACAGCAAAGGGGAGATCTGCTCAGTGAGCCATAGGAGGAAACAGAAAGACTAGATACAGTTGTTGATCAGTCTTTCCTCTCACTGGCTGAAAGACGGATCCTCCCCACATTCCTAGAGAAATGTGGAACACAAGGCTTTCAGTAAATATGATCACAGTGGCGACATTTGGGTATCACTGCCATGTTAGGTTTTAGAATACATCAGTTATGTGTAGCTATTACTGTAAGTAGTGAGCTGGCATGTGGGAACAGGGAAATACAGGGACATATGGGGCAAATAAGGCACAGTTACCATGGTAGTACCTTTCCAGTTGAGAATCATAAAAGGAAATAATATTCAAGTGGCCATTTTAGCACTTTGCTTAAAAATATCTTTTGATTCTTTCTCTATCTCTCCTTTTCTCTTCAACCTTTTCCTTTTCATGTGCTCCCCTCATCCTGCACCTTCATACAGTCAAATCATCTGACCTGGCCCGGCTGCTGGCTTTACTTAGCCTGCTCAGGGGTCTCATATCAGTGGCAAGTTCAGCAGGTGCTGAAGGCCCTTCCACTTCATCTCTCACCACCTCCTCTTCTGCTTTCTTCACCCCTGGCTCTTCCTGAGGCTGCTCCTCTTGTTCCTCCTCCCCCTCTGCTCGTACCTTCTCTTCTGGTTCCTTTGCTTGCGCATACGATGGTAACCTCTCATCGAATGCCCTGGAGAGATCTTCCAAAGGTCCCATCCCAATCTTCTCCTCAAACTCATTGTAGGCTGATGGAAGGGGGCTGGGCTCAACCCCAACTTCCGTGAGAGGGAAATAGTGGGACACCGGCTTCTCTTCTTCCAGCAGCTTGTAGCCTTTGGCCTTTGGGATGGAGGGGACTGTGATGGCGTGGAGGGGCTTCTCTGGGACCTCTCCAAGCTGCTCCTCTGGTGGTCTCCTCAGAGCCCTCCGGATTCTTTTCAAGATCAAATGACTGATCTCCACCAGGTTGAGGAAGAGGGATACGGCAGCCACCACCAGCATGAACATGATGAAGATGGTCTTCTCTGTGGGCCTGGAGACAAAACAGTCCACAAGATTGGGACAGGGCCACCGCCCACAGCGGTAAAGGGGGAGAATTCGGAAGCCATACAGGAAGTACTGACCTACTATGAATCCCACCTCAAAGAGGGTTTTGAAAATGATGTGTAAGATGTACGTTCTCAGGAGAGTGCCTTCCAGGCGAAACTTCTTGGTTCCATCAGGGTTATTGCCTTTGTTTTGGTTTGGAGCCAGGGGCAGCTTCTCTTCATCCACCTCAGCTTGCTGGCGCCTCTCAGCTTCCTCCCTCTCTTTCCTCTTCTCCTCCATGCGGACGTGGTGCACAGCATGCCCGAAGTACATTAGTGAAGGGGTGGATACAAAAATGATCTGCAGGACCCAGAGCCGGATGTGGGAGATGGGGAAGGCCTCATCGTAGCAGACATTCTCACAACCAGGTTGCTGGGTGTTGCACACAAAGTCTGACTGCTCATCTCCCCACACGAGCTCGGCAGCTGTGCCCAGGATCAGGATGCGGAAAATGAAGAGCACTGTGAGCCAAACTCTCCCGATGACAGTGGATTGCTCATTCACCTGCTCTAAAATGTTCCCCAAGAAACTCCAGTCACCCATTTCTTACTGTCTAAGGGAAGAAAAAACAAAGAGAAAGACCACAAATTATGCTCAGTTTTAAAGATTTCAGGTTTTCCCGCTGATCTCTCTTGTTGCTTTCAATCAGTATTTCCCTAATATGCTTTGAGAACAGAAAGACGGGTTGCTTGCTTGCTGATTTGCCTGTTCACAATGATTTATTAGCAGGATGAAGGGCTGGGAAGCCAGAGGAAGCTGCCTGCTAAATTCTTTCTTCTATGGCTCTAAATGGGCAATTACTTTTCAGCCAGGGAGTATATTTATCTCTTTTTGCAGGTGAGAGTCTTCTGTGGCGCCTTGTAGGCTCAGTTCTGTGAGTCTGCTTAGATTTTGTGCACGTACACTCACCAGTAATACAGTGGAACAGATTTATCAGCAGGCAGCTGCAGTGGTTAGAAGAGAGGGTGAAGCTTTCAAGCACACAAGCACTTCTGCACCAAAACCCCCCATGGGTCAGACAGATCTCACATCTGCGCCCATCTTGCACCTAAACAAACCTGAATTCTCTCTAGGTTGCAAATGTCAATTCTACTTTAGCAACCACTCTTTTAGGTAAGAACAGCAATTACAACACCATTACTGTGTTAGTAATGCTGTATTAAGCTTAACAACTATTCTATAGATTAGTTTTGCTATATAGAATATGTTGTATGCAATGTAATTATTTGGTGCTATCGGGGCTATTCTTTGCATCCCCTCCTGAAGTCAGCTGCCACACTGACAGTGGAACCAACCTAGGGAAAGCACCAAGGTCTCTAACTGGGACCTAAAATACTGTTTGCTCTAAAATGTCAGTGCCACTATCTCAGGCTAACACAGAGCTGGAAGCCAGCTGCAGATATACTATTGGAAAGCTAAGACAGTCGTACATTTTCAAGTAATGCAAGTATAATATTACATCTGTCATTACTTTTGCATGATAACAAATTATTCCTACGTCAGGGCTTCATTCTGCATATCCTGAACTTCCCACTATACAATTTCAGGCAAGGGAAGATCTATGAATGAGGAAAATAGAGATGAAAGTTGTTTTGTATGGGTTGATTTAACACATCACAGCAGTCTGAAGTCCCTGAGGAATACAGAATATTACAGTGGCCCAGAAAGACAGACTTGTAGAGCATGACAAGTGAAACAGGGAACATTATTCATAAAATAGCTGTTCACAGGGATCTAGAAGTTCATCTCTTAGATACTACCTCCATCTATAGTTCCCTAAATGCACACACACACACAAGCACTGGGAAAAGGAAGGTACAGTCAACAGCATGAAATTCTAAACTTCCCTCCTCCTTCAGATACCACTGGGATATATTTGTAATGCCATATGTTATGACACACCAACGCATACCAGTCTGTTTCAACTACTCTGTGTACGTAGTCACACATAGACAAACACGCAAAATATTGAGAATTCTATGGCTCGGGGGAATTTCACAAATTTTCAATTAAAAAAAAAAAAAAAAGAAAAGGTTTATGATGGCATTTTGCTAAAGCAAGATGGACTCATATTCCTTGCCTTCAAACCTCACAATATCAAAAAAGAAAATGAAGAACAGAACACAGTTCCTTCAGCTTGCACAAACACCTCGCATACATAAGCGGCAAACATATAATTTAATCACCAAGGAAAATTGCTACTTTCTCAGTCATTAAAGTCGTGTAAAGAAGTGTGTTAATGTCAGCGCTTACATTAACAAGTCTAGCAGAAGATTATGCTGTTTACATACATTATCTAAACTGATTTAAACATCCTCTTTCTGCAAATTCACAGAGCAAAGTACACCCAACAGTTACCAATCACGTGCAACTCTGTAAGAAACATGACTACACGCAGTACAAGCTTCATTGTCCCCCAGGCACCTCAGTTAACTCCATCCCTTTCTTTCCCTGTGAGTCACACTGATACCTATGCTACCATTTGAGCATTTCCACTGCAGCATGCACGAGCGACATTCTAGGTGTGGTAAACCTTATCACACGGAAAACTCGCTGTACAAGAGAAGGGAAAATGTTTCCCGTCTAACTCCACCACACGTCTTGTTCACAGCTTGCTACATTTGGCTAAGCCCTCCCTGAGATCACTTCCAACTGGCCACGTTCTTCACAACTCTGCCATGCCCATCCCCTCTGTTTTCTGCAAGTGAAGTGGTTGGAGGTTGCTCAGTCGGTTCAACTGTGAGCACCAATATTGGGTGGACGGATGGCGAGTGGCACAACCAGTTCGAATGTCTGGGATTCCACCAGCAATCAGTCAGCCACTCCAGCCTCGACAAGAGGGGTAAGCGAGGTATTTAGGTAGTCACCTTTTTCCTGAAATTGCCTGGCACGAGGAAGGAGCAGGACTCTGCCTAAGCCCAGAGTCAACAGATTTGTGTTCTGAACTCTCCCAGGCTGTCTGAAGACCCCCACCCTGCGCTCCCAGACGTCGCAACCTGCGCACGCTACCGGCGAAAGAGGCTGAACAGGTTAAGGATGTTGAGCAAGCAACTTGCCGCTGTGAGAGGCTCCACCGAAGAAATGTGTCCCCCTCCTCTCTTGGCACTCTGCAGGGAAGAGTGAACTTTTGTCTCTCTTCTTCCCTACCCTAAAAGCCCCAATCTTGTCGCACGACTGAGCAGATATGACTGAATTGGCTCTGATGGTGGGTTTTAGTTGCCCTGCAATATTTAAGCTCCGAGCCAGACGGCTTTATGAAGTGAGTGACAGTCAGTGACGTGGGGAACAATAGGGAGAAAAAAATAGAGAGAGAGGCAGAGACACAGAGAGGAGAGTCCACTGAACATGAAAAAGCAGAGGCGGGAGAGGAGCAGGCAGCAGGCAGTGAAAACCCAGTACATGCATAAATGGGAGTTTGCTCAGTTAAGCAGGGACCAAAGCATCTCTGCAATTCCACTGATGTTCAGTGTGTGAACACTTGCTGTGTGTGTCCACACTTCCTGGTCTTCAGGTGCTGTGGTGTGGCAGGTGAAAAGGGAACGCCAACATCTCTGAAAATGGCAGCATTAATTGATTTGTTACCCTACTCTTTAATTTGTTAATTTTAATTTATTTGTTACCAGCTCTGACTGACAAGTTGCATTACTGATTTTCAGGCAGATACTGAAGTAATGGGTTTATATTTAGCATTATCAAATATTTTGGTCTGCTCTTTATCATCTTTTACTTGGAAAAAGCAGCAGAATGGGAAAACAAGATTATCAGTCAATATTAATCAAAGCTGAGAAAGACCAATTTTACAACTTCACCTCTTTGTGTCTTAGTTCTGCTTAGTTTTCTCCTCCAAATGCATCTTGCACGTGCACATGCATCAAGAATGTCTAAACCAAACTGTTTTGTTAAGGAGCATAGCTGAATTCCAGCAGCCCAGCACACAGGAATGTTACCCCAGGCACACTCGCCTACCACCAGCCACCTGCAAAAATGCTGGAGAGGCCGCAGAAGAGAGGAATCACAGGCTCAGTAATGCATCCACAAGTACAACTAAATGCCCTGAGAATTTTAATTGAAAGCCAGAGGCTATAATCTTTCTCTGAGTTATGGTTTTTGTAGTCTTTCTGGAGGCATTGCTCAGAATGTGCTCTTGGTGCTCAGCTCTGAAGAAAAAGAGGATTACTAGAAGCAAAATTTGCTAAGCAGTGATACAGATGCCAGGCTCATAAAGTGATGAATCAGCAAGTAGCTCTCCTCTCACTTTATGCAAACTCAACACTGAATTTAATTTCACAGAATGACGTTGGGAGACACTCTGTCTCCAGAAATGCTGTCAAATGCTGTCATTTGAATGAGATATTAAAACATGAGGGCCACAAAATTTTGTACCTTCAAACCAATGGTTTCAGGCCACTCTTCTGTGTTTCTGGGCATTTGTGTCCATATGAGCTCAGAGCTTCATCTCAGGAGTTGTCTTCCCAAACAGCTTTTAGTCTGATTTGCAGAGCCCCAAGGTCCAAAGCACAACCGGAGGCAGAGATGATGTTTTTCACACTGGATTTCAAAGGAACTGAAGTGTAAATGATAGATGGAAAATAATCATATTTTGCTAAGAGGAACCAGTCTGGAGACACAAAAGAAAAGTCACCCTCAATGCATGTAGTTGAACTGAAAGTCATATTCTGAAAAAGTCGTATTTCTGATTAGGAAATCACTCTCTTAACCAGGGAAGCAGTAGCAGAACATTTTTCAGCCCATGCTACATAAAACACAGGAACAGCCTTCCTGGAGAGAGGACACACCGTGGAGAATTCACAAGTCTCAAGAACACAAAGTGAGTAAGATAAGGCGTGTCTGGATCAATGAGAGGAGGAAGGAGGAGGAAGGAGGAGGAAGGAACACCTTTGTTGTTTTGTTTTGCTATACATTATGGAGATAAACTAGTATCAGATACACGAGTGAGTGGTCATCACTGCCTCCCTCATCCCCCTTTGGGAAGCAGTAAGAGAGAGAGGACTAAACAGTACCACAGGCATCCAGCGCTTTTAGAGAGCGCCTGGAGGCCAGTGCACCACAGAGGGCAGGTGATTCAGATGTTAAACTGCTCATTCCTTTTCAGACCAAAACTGTCCTTTTGGAAAACTTAGCTCTAGCTGAATGTGCACAACCCTTTCTAGGCCTTTTCTCTCTAATATAATGAGACAAACCCCAAATCTGGTATGTAACTACATGGCTGTAAGCCCATCTCTAAATTACATCCCGATACTGTCAGAGACCTTTCCCGTTAACCTTCTATCTGCCTTTTGCTAGTGCTATGCAAATATCAAACATTGTCTGACAAGTTGCAGAACAGTTTGCAATATGCAAAATATATTCAAGTCTGTGATTATTGGGTCTGTGTTACCTTCATCCAAAGGATCAGGCTGACTTTCTTTGGTATCACAGAGTGCAGAGCCTTTAGCATGGGGCACACCCAGTTTGCAGGACACTTCTGGTTTGTGCAAAACCACAGTCCCTTCATCTGGAGGCCTTTTACAAAGGCACCACTGAGCTCTGGGTCATGTTCTTCAGCTCACTAGGGCCTCCTCCCTCTGAAGAAAAGGATCTAAATGAAAATGAAGCTGGGCAGTGAGGAATGCCTCTTGTACTGCAGCTATACAGTGGTTTGAGATGGGCATGAAGAGGAGAAGGCAGAGCACAAGAAGAGCAAGAAGGAGACTTGATTCTCTTAGGGACCAGGGTAACGCTGGAAGTCAGGGCTACCTTTGTATCATGAAAGAAGTGGCTGTGAAAGAAAGGAGTAGAGACAATAAAAGCAAAGGTCGAGAAGACTGGACCTCACATGCAGCATGTGACAATCACTGAGTCTGCAAAAGAACTGCAGCACTGACAGTGCCAGACTGAGAAGGGAAAACACTTCCAACCTGTGTACCTAGCTTGGTATTTATGCTCTCATTAAGTTATGCTCTCTCTACAGCAACCTGTAGATGTGCTGAGTACTTTCATCCCCAAAAATCAGTGCTAAAAATAGTAGCAACTAGTGAAAGTACCACTGTTAACTCACAGTGACATTTCCTTGCCTTTGGGACTTTTCTTGCTTTCAAAGAATCATTGGCATCTCCTGCACTTTTAAAATACTATTTTCTGTGGAAAGAAGTTTGCTTCATTGCTGACTTCTCAACCTTTAGCTGCTTTGAGGCTGGTGACTGAGCTTCTGTCCCTGGCACCACTGAGTCTGTGAAGTCTCCACTGCAACTCAGCCTTTTGCTCAGAGACTACGAGGTCACTTGGGGAATGTGGGATTTTTCATTCCAAACGGATTTCCAACACAGACATGATGTCAGGACAAGGCAGGGCCATGCTATTGAACAGCTCTGTTCATGCATGATAGCAGATTGTGCAATTATATAGCGCACAACCCTAGATAACGATACCCCTCCCTCAAACAAAGTTATCTTCTGGGGATCTGCTTAGCTAGGAAGTGGCACACGCTTCCTGTTCTTCTGCTGAGCACACAAACCTCTCGCTCATGGCTGAGGCTGAACACTGGGCACATTCAGCCTCCCTGCAAGAAGCTGAGACCCTCACCCAGTGCTCTCCTCTGCCAGACACTCACCCAGTTCCCTAGTAACACGTGTCCTTGTCCATCCCAGAGCCAAAGTGATCTATCCTCCGATCACCAGGATCTGTCTCCCAGATTTTATCATCTCTCTGCCACCTACCGGTCTCAGAGATCATGGAAGTGTAGCCAGCTCTGGACAAATCTTTAAGCAGACCTTACCATGTCCTTCCTGCAAGCCTGGCAAATATCACTGCCTGCATTTTTAGGGCCGGGCTCCCAGATTTTTCCAGGACTCTCTCCAGACACTGGTGGATATGAATTGCTGGGGAATATCTTTTGCTAGAGAGCTGCAAGCAAACCATAAAGAAAAAAGAGGGAGGAAGATATAAAGCATCAAGGAGGAAGAAAACTGGGGAAGTATGTAACAGGAGGACAGGAACACAGAAGAGGTGAAGATAGGGCTGGGTTGTGCTGAGCCTCGAGTGGAGGATGAATACTTATGGGAAACGTATTTTTAATTTAAGGGATGGAACCAAACTAGACAATTAATAAAGATAAGCAGGGCAAAAGTGGGATGTCTTTCAATATCTGTTAAATGCAGTTCTTCTCTGAAAATTACTGTTCTAGGAGGACCTGGGGAATTACAGGCCAGTCAGCCTAACTCTGATACCTAGAGAGATACTGGAACCAATTATGAAACAATCAATTTATAAGCAGCTAAAGGACAATAAGCTGATAAGAAACAACCAGCAGGGAATTTTGAAGAACAAATCCTGTCAAACCAAGCCAATTTCCTTCTTTGACTAACAGGCCTAGTAGATGGGGAGAAAATGGTAGCTGTAAAATACTTTGACTTCAGTGAACACTCAGGAAATATCTAGATTACAGTCTCCCTGGGCAGCAAGCAAAGTCATCATGCAGAGGGTACACAGGTTGAAGTACTATATAATCAAGGGTAATTATCAGGGCTTCACTTTTCCAGCTGGGAGAATTGTGTCCCTGAAGTTCTACCTCCAGGGCTGTTCAGTACTTCCTTTAGTGTCTTGGACAACAGACTAGAGGACAAAACAAAGAGGATGACAGCTGGGCTGGGGGTCAGCAGTCCCTCCTGAAGGCAGGGTGATTGGAATTTGAGAGGAATGTGAGACACTGGGGAGCTGGGCTGCCTCTGCAGAGGTGACTGCACCAAGATCCAGCTCAGGAAAGGTGGCTGCACAGACACCAGGTGTGCTGCTCCAAACTAAATTGTGACCGGTCCAGCAGAGAGAGCTGGGGTGAGACCCAGTGTGTGTCTGCTGAGATCCCCACAGAAGAGGACAAATCTCATTCTGAGGTGCTTTAATGCGGATTTTGTGTATAAGGCAACGGAAGCAATTATTTTGTGCATTAACTTGATACTGCTGAGCTCCCAGCAGGAACAGTGTGTCCACTCCCAGGCAGTACATTTTACAGGAGATGCAGAAAAGTTGGAGAAAGTCCAAAACAGAACAGCAAAATGATAAGAGAGGTGAAAAAAACCACATGACTTGTAAGGAATGGATAAAATAATTAAGTTTGTTTTCCCTAGGAAAAGAACAACAGGAGGGGATGCATGATAACAGTCTTCCAGCACATAAACATTTGTTATAATGGGTGGAGAGACTAAACAGTTGTCCCCTACATTCACCAAAAGTAGAAGAGGAAATAATCAGCTTAATTTGCAATAAAAATGATATAGCTAAACATTAGAAAAACACTTTGCAATGGCAAGAATAGCAAAGCACGGCAGCACACTGCTTGGGGAGGCTGTAGAATCACAGGAGGTTTTTATGAAGAGGTAAACAAACATCTGTTAAGGATGATCTTACCTCATAAGCAGAAAAACAAGCGGGGAGAGAAGGAGGCTTTTTGAGGTCTTTGTCAGGGACGAAGGGAAGGGAAGGTGCGGGAAGGGAAGGTGCGGGAAGGGAAGGTGCGGGAAGGGAAGGTGCGGGAAGGGAAGGTGCGGGAAGGGAAGGTGCGGGAAGGGAAGGTGCGGGAAGGGAAGGTGCGGGAAGGGAAGGTGCGGGAAGGGAAGGTGCGGGAAGGGAAGGTGCGGGAAGGGAAGGTGCGGGAAGGGAAGGTGCGGGAAGGGAAGGTGCGGGAAGGGAAGGTGCGGGAAGGGAAGGTGCGGGAAGGGAAGGTGCGGGAAGGGAAGGTGCGGGAAGGGAAGGTGCGGGAAGGGAAGGTGCGGGAAGGGAAGGTGCGGGAAGGGAAGGTGCGGGAAGGGAAGGTGCGGGAAGGGAAGGTGCGGGAAGGGAAGGTGCGGGAAGGGAAGGTGCGGGAAGGGAAGGTGCGGGAAGGGAAGGTGCGGGAAGGGAAGGTGCGGGAAGGGAAGGTGCGGGAAGGGAAGGTGCGGGAAGGGAAGGTGCGGGAAGGGAAGGTGCGGGAAGGGAAGGTGCGGGAAGGGAAGGTGCGGGAAGGGAAGGTGCGGGAAGGGAAGGTGCGGGAAGGGAAGGTGCGGGAAGGGAAGGTGCGGGAAGGGAAGGTGCGGGAAGGGAAGGTGCGGGAAGGGAAGGTGCGGGAAGGGAAGGTGCGGGAAGGGAAGGTGCGGGAAGGGAAGGTGCGGGAAGGTGCGGGAAGGGAAGGGAAGGGAAGGGAAGGGATCTTACTACCAGTTCTGAAAACCCATCCTGGGCACTCCAGGTTGCCTACACCACCCAGCACAACGCTGACCTACAGGGACACCAGCTCAGACCTGGGACCAGGCTGGCTATGCCAGAGAGGAATTGCACTTAATTATCTTTGGAGTGGGGCTAATCCCCCGTGGCAGTGTGAAGCACGGGTGGTGCTGATCTGCTTGCCACTGCTCACCCCGGGTATCTCCAGGCTGCCCTGCGAGGGGAGCTGTCCCCAGGGCACCTG